GATCGATATGTTCGAGTACTATCGAGTCGTCGCGTCCCCTTGCAAAGGCGTGGGACGCGCCGCGGGGAAACCCCTTTGCCCGGGCATGTGACTCCCTGTCTATCGAGGCGGGGGTGATGAGTTGCGGGTTGATAACTAGAAGGCTTGAGTTGAGATTGTGATGGGTGGGACTGTCTCTTCATTCCTCTTCTTCTTCTCCTTCTTCATTCTTCTCTTCTTCTTTCTTCCTTCTTCAATGTTCAGGTTGTTCAGTACTTGCAGTATGCAAGCTTGTCTTGAAAATGTCGTTAGCGAGATTCAGGCATCCGTCAAATATATTGTGTTCCGTGATGGCTACCGGCTATAAAGTTAATGTCAATTTCGTAATTTCATTTGATCTCCACTTATCGGTATTCTCGCCTCGGGTATTCCGCTAATACCTATTGATTGGAAGCTGTTCCCTTAAGAGACCTGTCCTTGCTATCGTCATGATGGACTATAATTTGTACTTTAAGGACATTGTAACTCTATTATCGACGGTTGACTGACAGATAAGCAAACGTAAACTCTAAGAGTTAGTTGTTGATTAAAATTGTATAGAAATCCCACAATTCGTATTTTAACCATATAACATAGGATTTTAATTGTAATCTTTGAATTACCTCTGCTACTGTTCATTATAGAAGGATAATATTTCCGGGACATGGAACTACCGGATGTCTAACTTTCGAAGCTCATAAGTCCATAATGTCACTCAGTACTAGTGGATACTACCGTCTTGTCTATGCTCAATGAATCAAGCTGACAGCTAAAAACAAAAATGATGCGCGTGCAACTTGGTGAACGCGAAAGAAGTGAAACTTCTTTAGCGGTCTGTAGTATTGTGGGTTTCTTCATTTTTCACCCTTAAATCAAATTTCTCTTGTAATACGGAATGCTGTGTATAAGAGAAGCGGCCTAGCTCTTTCTCTATTTTTTTCTCTAGCCGTAACGAATCTGTGGCGAGTTAAATTTGTCTTTTTTTTATTGCCTTTGTAAGCAGACGAGCATACGGCCCACCTGATGGTGAGTGGTTGCTGCATGAACTTCAGCAATGCCTGGAGAAGAGCCAAGCCGCTGCCTACTGTTAAGTACTCTCCACAAGTCTCATTTGAAGAAGGATAGTCTCAACGCACCTCGCGCCTAACGAAGTTTCACTTCAAAAACTGCGCTGTAACCACTTTTGCTCATCTATAGCAGTAAAGAATTCATCATCATTCTTTGATCATTCATTCACTGTCCAGGCGGTTCGATTGTGGAATGCTCTGCCGGATGCAGTGAGAAGTGCTCAAACTTTAAACTGTTTTAAAAGAATGGTGAAGGAACACTACTTATCTTCTTAGTGCTTTTTGTTTGCATCATCATTTGTTATTTCCATACTGTTGATGTATTATGTGTATGTAAGTATATAAGTATGTATTGTATGTAAGTATGTATATTGGTATATAATAATAAGTATATATTTTATATTATATGTAAACGGTATATATTTTGTTTATTGTATGTATATATTTTCTATAATGTATTATCTATAGTACACCGCAACATACCTGCTATATATTTTTTATATTTTCCAGAATTTCTATAAATTATACGGTTGTCTGGAAGAGATCGCTTTTAGCGATAAGACCGCCTATTGTACAAATTTATCTGTTTTTTGATTGTTTTTTTGAATGTAAATTGTGTTTTGGTGTGCAATAAAGTGTATTCTCTCTCTCTCTCTAAAGAATGTGTATGCAAGCCTCGTGTACTGTTGAAATACCCCCGTCCGTAACAAGCTGGAATATCTCCTTAGGCTACGAGCGAATATTAGTTAATAAATCGATTCTTAGGAGTAAACATCAAGAAGATGTAACTGACAACTAATTGTATCATATCTTGACATATAGGGCCGAAATCTCGAAAAGGTTTTTTTATTGCCCTTGTAGGCAGACGAGTATACGGCCCACCTGATGGTAAGTGGTCACCATCACTCATGGACATCAGCAATGCCAAACCGCTGCCTATCGTATCCCGGTATCCCACCCTTTAAACCAAAGTGAAATTCAGTAAAATATTCTTGTAACCATATGTCCTTGTGTGTAAAATTTAAATAAAGTTTTTGTTCGAGTTCTATTTTTTTAATAGGTCAAATATCTATGGAGAGTGATGTAAATAAAACAAAAATATGGAAACAAATAGTTTTAATTGTTATATAACACCACATAAAAATATTAAAATTTATTTAAAATTGATTCAGTAATAAAATTTTTCATCTAATACATTTTATTAGCTCAAAGAAAAAATATGCTGCAATGATGGACCTGTAAATAATTTAAATTATAGTTTAGTATTTAGTAAATCTTTAAGGTATCATTACGTTTTAAATTTAAAATTTTGTTAGTTACATATATTGAAGAAATCCAGAGAACTGATTNATTTAAATTATAGTTTAGTATTTAGTAAATCTTTAAGGTATCATTACGTTTTAAATTTAAAATTTTGTTAGTTACATATATTGAAGAAATCCAGAGAACTGATTAAATATACAAGCTCGCACGAAAAAAAACCTTTCTCTTTCTTTACATTTTCCCAAAATGCTTAGTAATAAGTAAAGTAACATAACTATATGCTATTTTAAGCATATACATATATGTTATGCACAATACAAACACACGCTATAAATGTTAATAAAGCCAAAACACGAACTACTGCGCAAGAAGGTCACCTTAATTTCCATTAAAGACACCACAAAACAATGGATCCCTTTCGAGTAACACACAAAAAACATAGCTTCTGTCGGCTATGAAGTAATATTCGTTCTTCGGAATAATTGCGGATGTCGTTCTAGCACCGACAACAGCTGGAAATTTAGAAATAAATACCGAAAAATGGATTAATTCGCTACGTCAACTTTCCAAAGATCTTGAGAATGTTTCAATTAAAACTCTTTTACCTAATTTCCGAACGTGTGCATATTATGAGTAATTTAAAAGTATTTAAAAAGAATAGTTTGCGTATCACACGATGCGCAATCGAAAATAGTGATGAGCTGTAACAATTTTTCATACGATTCTCGATCCATAAATCTGATAACATTTTGACCTCATCTTGAAAGGCTAAAGAATAGTATAATGTATATGGCAATTAATAAAAACTAACAAATTTCATAAAATAGTTGATTTGAGAAAAATATAGAGTAAATTTCGATATTCTCAACATCCTGTCTATTGTATAAATCTATTACATCCTATTACACGAAAGAAGAAAACTGTTTTGCGAAGTCCATGTTATTCCATAGTAATATTATATAAACAGGAGAGAAGAATACAATGAAAATAAAAAAAAGTATTAAGCCATTTTTTGTGAAACCTAGAAAGAGCAAGAATTAAAGGAGCAAACAATGAAGAGGGTACAAAATTTCCTAAAAATCACCTTAAACAGCGAATATTCCACCGAATATTATGTCTGTTCCAATTTTAATAACAAACACAAAGGGATGGTCTGCGTTGAAGACCAATGGTTCTACTTCAGATATCGGTAGACTTAACGTGGTACCGACTACTGCTGTAAGTACATAATTATTTTAAGATCCATTATTATTATTATGGTCGCCTATTTAAGTGTGAGAATTCACTGCTCTTTTGATTTTGGCTTTCATATTCAGACGCATAGCATACCAGCGCATACGACAATATTAGATCAAGGTCTTATTTCTAACGTAATAGTTACTCTAGAGGGGAGAAGAGCGGAATGTAGAGGTAGGCCAGTGTACCTGGTCGGCCTCAGCAAATGATTATACAAAAGCAGTTATTATGTAATTTTTTTAAAATATTTTGTACACTGAAATTTTGTTTTTCACTTCACTTTATTTATGCATTTGGTCTTTATTTAATGATTTTAACATTAGTTTTGCCAATGATATCAACATGCTTTATAAAAATGATAGGTATTCTAATAATAATATATATTAAAAAAATAATCATCTGGGCAGATCTTTGTTAGCAAATGGACATATAATTACAAAACCACGAAAATATTGAGATCTCATACATTATAACGCCTTTTTTTTTAATTCCTTCTTATGAATAATCAAAACCCACTTAGGAACCACACGGTGCGTTTTCAAAAAAACCTTACGTTGATGGATTTTAAAAGAATAAATTAATTTACTAAAATTAATATCGCAATTTGATTAGTCTGACACTTGACACCCTTCGATTTCACAATTTGCTTTCACCTTAGGAACCTATGAACAATCCACTGAAAATTGGTTCATCGTTAATCAAAACGAAGAATACGTATGGATGGTCTGCTATAAATAATTTGGGCAAAACTTCTTGGCTGGCTTGTCCAGAAGATAATGTTGCGATGACAGCTGAAAGTAATTCAATCGACTAGTGGTAAAAACTTAGCCCCACGATCTTTTCTAGTGCACTTCAAGCGGACCGCCAATGCGCATATGGGAAAACCACAAAAAAACTAGAAATAAAATAGAACTTAGGAACTGCGAACTAAAAGCATGCAGATACCGAAAGATACAAGCGCAATAAACGAGAGAAGCCCGTGTTATCTCACGCTCTCTCTCTCAACACTAGTCGGCCGCATCTGTTCACGACTTAACCTAACCTAATCTATCTTAAGGAGGAGGGAGCCTGGATATCAGTAATACAGGTCTTTGAACCTAGTACAGACTTCAGCTCTTTCAAAGACTTACAAAATAAATTATAAGGTTAATTTCCATTTGTATTTGTACTATACCTTTAAGAGAGAAATAAATAAATTATAATTATTTTTATTAATATTATTATTGTTATTTCCTTAATTTTATGTGTTTCGACTTAAATTCCCTGAAAAACTCCACTGAAAGTTGGTGTTTTGTAAAGTAAAACAGAAAATGCGAAAGGACGATCCGCTATGAATAGTTTGGGCAAAGATTCCTCGACAATCGAATCCGAGTTTACGGTAACAGCTGGAAATAACATTTGCGGTTTGATTCGAACAGAAACAGGATATTAATGAACGGATTTTAATGAAATATTACTTAGGGCTTTAGTTCAATACAGTTAGTGGGCCACTAGAAGTTTGTGAATTTGCGAAACTTAACTTTACGCTATTAAGCAATTTTGTAAATCTGAATTCAAAATATCTTGTTGAACAAATACAGGATCAAATGCATTTCTAAATGAGTACAGAAGTATAACTAATTTAAGTGTACTAGATAATTTATATAACTTTTTTGACAATCATAAAAAAATAGTGCGATTCAAATATTTATTTTATAAAAACATTTTTAATTCGAAACAGTATAATTCTCTTATTATGATTATTATTATTACAAAAACTTCACAATTAACATTTAACTTTACATTAATAATATTTATTGTTCAACTTATCCGACGAAAACCCCACTAAATATAATGTCATCTTGAACTTTGATTGCGTATACAAACGGATGATCTGCTTCAAAAGAATACATATCTGTTCTACTTCTTTTCGTGAGTACGACGGCTGTAAATTTATATTTCATTACACGACTACATTTCGTTGACATTTTAAGTACATTTCAATTTCCGATGTTACGAAAAATCTCAACAGTGAGACGACTGTCGTCCGTGATTATGTAAAATGTTCTTCTAATTATTATTAAATTATTTTTAAAACTCAAGGGAACTCTTAAAAGATACTATGATTCAAAGCCTATTATTGTAAGTTCGCACAAGTTGGTACCACAACGTTTTGTCTATTATACTATTTTATCTATAAACTATATAATATCTATATAACATATATGAGTATTATGGTAAATTCACAACTCTTGAATATCACGATTGAATAAGAACAAAGGAACTTGACTCAAACCACGGTAAATATGGTAGTTTACAGTATTAATGTTAGGTCTTTACCTGCGTTTTAAAGTACTGGGAAACTAAAAACTGAAATACCACAAAATGCCTCTGAACAGTTTGTAAGCTCCGGTATACCGGACTTATTCAGGAGGGCTATTGAAAAATGACAGTGCGCTGGCAGATATATCAATATCATCGGTGCATATTTTAATTATTAGAAAAAAGAACGTAACTTTCTGTATAATTTACGGCAATTTCATAGGTAAAGATCTAATATTTGATTTATGTCTTTAAAATTGCCGTGGTTAAGCTTACAATTGACATATTTTTTTCGTATTACGGAATTCTTTTTAAAAAAATTTATCCAAAATAGAAGTGTTACATTTTTTAGCTTTGTCAATTTGGAAAGTATCATAATTTAATTTTAGATATAGATTAGATTTAGATTTTATTATTTTGTTTGCCGATAGAAAATATAAAAATAATCTTACCAGTTGCAACCGCTGCCTCGGTTCCAGTTTCATCAACTATGATTTTATTTTTCTGTATTGCAGCAGAAATATGTACGGGGTCCGAATTGACTAACATTCCTTCGAAATCATTTGATTGTGGATCGAACATTTTGGTTACGTTCATCTATAATGACAAGTAGCAATTAGTATCGGTGATAAACATTATGGGGTACCATAATATGGTATACAGTAACTAATGCTTTCAAAGTATAATATAAATAAATAGTCGTGATATGAAAGGCTATGTTATCTTAAACCACAAAGATAGTAGGCACTTTTTTCAGGTTCGATACTTTGAAAGGGCCTCGAGGCAAAGTTGATATTACTATGACATTGAAAATGTTGTTTAACATTAAACTCATGAAAATTGTAATTTGATATTATCAATTCAGTTTCAGGGAGACGATATTTATATTCTTCTTCTTGCCTATGTCCTTGTCCAAGTCAATCGGAGCGGCCCAACATAAATTCAAATTGTTAAGTTACAAGTTCTGGCGTTTCGGTGACGTCAGTTCTTATTTAAGTTCTCGGGATTAGCAAATTATAAATATAGATTATAGGAGTGATTAAGATACAAAGGAAGTAAACAAGAGAAAAATGTCTATATAGTACAGGGCGGTTGTATTTGCAGCTAGATGTATGTAACAACTATTAGTTTCTTATACTAGTACTCAAATTATTCTCATGAAATACTCTTATTTTGTGATATTTATCCCAAGAATCGATATGTCACGTATACTTATATATAGTGCACTAAATTCTAGTACTGATATTCCTTTTTATATAATTATTAGTCTTCCCCTTTTCACAGTTTTTACAACGAAGTTTTCGAATACTCGTTAGATTATTAGAATAACTAACCTTCTGGGAAAGGTCTGCTATATCCATTTTCGTTTCTATATCCATCTTAGGTAGGAAACATTTGACTTTCTCTCGCCTAAGTGATTTAATGCTATTAAAAAATTCATCTGAATTTCGTAATTTATGTGACATCTGGGGTAGGCCATCTTTTTTCTTTGGTAACAAGATTACTAAACTAGAATTGCCGCCTTTGTAGAACAATTCTAAGATCTGAAACGGGATAATTATATTTTTATCAAGATGGAACAAGTATATTCATTAATTTATAATTTTTTTCCCCATTTGGCTGTATACGTATAACTGTTCAACAGAGCGATAAATAATTTATATTGCCAGCGAAGTCATTAATGTTTTTATTTTATTTTTATTGCTTTTTTTTAAGTTTCTTTAAGTTAAAGTTTTAAGTTTATTTTTAAGTTTCTTCTTCTTCTTTCAAGTTCGCACAGGTTCTCAAATCTGCGTTAACTTGCGTTAGACTTGTTTCGCAACGATGCGTGAGTGAATTAGATTTTTTGCCAATTTTGTTTTTACTATATTATTATCTCAAAATTCTTTTTTTGAGCAACATTCCTTTTTTCACAATTTTTTCACAAAGTAACTTAGGGAACTTGTTGCTGACCCATACCTGTGCATCAAGAATCTCGTTTTCTCCATAATTAAAGAAGTTTTCTTGATACATAGTCTTTATGGACTTAGTTTTGTTTGGTGTGATGTAGAAGTCTCTGTCGTGAGTGTTATTAGGATTGAACTGATTTTGCCAATTTCCCTGAAAATTTTTGTACATAGTTAATTAATAAGGTGATGTAAAAGATGTATTGACTACAATGTTAGCGGCTATGGCTTGATGGGCGTAGCTATTAAGGTCTACCTGGTCGTGACTGACTGAAAATTATTCAATGCAAATAAGTAGCATCTCGATTGAAGTAAGACTTGTTATTTTTTCTTCTTCCCTGTCTTTATCACTCTTAACAGATGGTCGTGGTCATTACTTTACATGTTGATGGCAGGCTTCATAGCGAACTATAAACGCAGATGATGGGAGTTCTTCCCAGAATACGCGGCTATACTTATACAATATGGTTACGTATTCCATAGTATCTGTCAGTAAATCTGTATTATTTTTTCGGTCTTCTATGTGTGTGGTTTGAAAACGAGGGACTGGGATAACATCAAACAATTCCTCGTGGCATTCTTCATATGACACAAATTACAGTGAGAGCTCACTACTTGAGGTTTGATAATAATAATTAAAAAATTTAATCTAAGAAAATAGTAACTCACACGCATATAAAAGGCGTCAACTAGAACCAATCTAGTGTCACCGCTGAACAAATCTTCGCTGACAACATTTTGAATTAAGTTATTGGTTTTGTTTGCGACCTGGAAATGTGTTATAAAAAGTATATTAATTAACGAAATATCGTAAACTCCTTAATGGTGAAAATCATGGTAAGAACTCTTTAAGTAATAGTGTGTTTAATGTAAATATTTAAAAAAATCAGCTTATTATTTATAATAGACATCTTCAGTAAAAAAAATCTATAGTAAAGCACTTGTACAATTTCACGTTAAATGGTACATGTGTTCGTAATTCCACTCGCATTAAATGGGATTGATGGGAAATGAATATCTGTTTCCTATGATCACAGCGATATAATGTATATTTTATTTATGAGAACTATCAACATGACAACTGTCAACTATCTTATAATTAATCAATAACTTCCATAACAAAATTTAAATTTAATGAGAATTACCCATCCGTTTATTGTGTCTGCAGCTTGTTTCGCATATTTAAAATCAATATTTTCTCCTTCTGAGTCAAAATAAGTTACAGCGTCGTTCTTAAACTGGTCCGTAAAAGGATAATTTATGTTGCCGTAGCATTTAACTGCCACCGTCAAAAGAATTGAGGTTTGAGACCGATAATTCTTAAGCAACGCGGGGAAAGCTTCCTTGATCTGCGAAAAATTTATTTGGTATTGATAAATTACGTTATTATTATTAGGCTTCGAGTTATCGGAATTAATTATATATTAAAAGTAAGCGAGTCATCTTATTCCCATTTTACGGAAGCTCTTCTGCTGATGCCACAAATTGTTGATTGAGAATGATAGTACCTGCCTTTACCTGCTCATACTAGGATGTGCATTATCTAATAATACTTACATATTCAATAATTGTGAAAATATTCACGCATTAGGGCCCTTGACTTAGAAGACGTCCGTAAAAACTACTAATCAGCTTCGTAGAAAAACAAATAAATTTAATGCAAAATGTTTTGAACAATATGAAATGTACTTTGTACCTGATCCTTATTGTCGAGGTTTATAAACTTTAATAGTTGATCTAAAGTTTCTCCAACGGCGTATAGTGCTAGTTGACCGTAAGGAATGAGTACAGATACGGGTGATGTAACGAAACTTTGTCCTGGATTCATTTTGTATAATTCCTAGAAGAAAAAAATATGATTATCAATCCGCTTTCCGCGGAATCAAGTCCGCTTTGTTACATACAATACAGTTTTTATTAAATTAAGTAATATTACCCAAAGAAACTGGCCAACTAATGCCATGTTTCCTCTGCGGAGTTTTTCCAAGGATTGGTCGACATTTCCCGATGAATTGGTAGTAGCTGCAAACAAAATACACGTTTATTCAATGTAATCTTAAAATCGATTGAATAATTGAAAAAAAAGTTATTGCTTATAATTTTTTAGTGTACTATTTTCCAGTTGGACATATTGTCCAAAAGTTGGACCGATAACCTGGTAAAGGACCTGATAATCCGGTGGTCAGCCTAGGACCAACCTTGGCCAACCTTTGGAGAGGCCGTTGTCCAGTAGTGGATGTATCTGCACTGATGACTACGTCAATGATATTATAATTTAAATTCAACACATCAATGTATCATGGGGATCCAGTCTCGTAAAATTTTATTCTTGCTATTTTTGTACAAGTATCATTGATCAACTCTAAAAGGAACTTTGGAGGAATAATAAATACATGTGTCGAAAATATCATAGTGTCGAATCGATTCGATCGAAATTAAATTACGTTGGAAAGGTATTATCCCTGACTACACTTTTTTTTTATACTAGAAGAAGAAGAATACTAGAGAAGAACATTGTTTAAACTAGATAAATGAACCACTGCCTCCCACGGTTGTTATGGGAGACGGTACACGACATAAGGTCGAAACTAAGTTTTTTGTGGCTGTCCAACCCTTTTTACTGGGACGCTTGACTGGTTCACTCTAGAAAAATTTAGGACAGTTTTATCTACCCGTACTGTATCTCACAATAAGTCCTTATTACACATGTTATCACCACCTTGTTATTAACTGGCGGCAGGACCTCTTGTGAGTCCGCGCGGGTGGGTACCACCGCCCTGTCTATATCTGCCGTGAAGCAGTAATGCGTTTCGGTTTGAAGGGTGGGGCAGCCGCTGTAACTATACTGGAGACTAGAACTTATATCTCTAAGGTGGGTGGCGCATTTACGTTGTAGATGTCTATGGGCTCCAGTAACAACTTAACACCAGGTGGGCTGTGAGCTCGTCCACCCATCTAAGCAATAAAAAAATAATAAAAAAACTAATAACAGTTTATTTCACTCACGACATCGATCTGGTAGAACACATTTCGATGAGACGTAATCATAGTAATATCCTTGTTTACAATCACAACCGTTTACAGCACATATATCGTCCTCGCACACTCCAGGGTCCTTGCCAACATCTGAACAACGCCTGTTACAATTTATCCCACAACCAGCTTCGGCATTCGGATCACCGCCACATGATGCTGTAATTTATAAGTAAGGCTTTTTATTTATGAAAAAAACTGCTCCTTTATTAAATGCTATGCTATAAAATTCTATTTTAAGTTGAATGATTATGATTCAATTTACAGTCAGAAAGAGAAATACGTTTAATCAAACATCTCCGATTAGTTCCAAACCATTTCTAAATTTGATTAAGACGAACTATATTTTTTACACTCCCAGCTAGACGAGCTCGACGTGTACCATAAGTAATTACCGCACCCCCCAGATATTGTCGAAATCTCAATTTTATTAAATAACTGCTGTCCAACCAATTCCTTCCCTTAATCTGGAACGCATAACTGAACCATGACCGAAATAGACAGGATGATAAATAGCTCTTTTCGAGCTCACAATACGCTTTACCATCATTAAATATTAGATGACAAGTCTGTCCAACTGTACACAGACGATATCAAAGATCCTTAATCAATTAAAACATCCCTATCATTCGCATTCATGTCTCTTCATAACTCAAATTGTTCTAGTGCTATGGCAGTTTGTCCACACGACTTGGCAATGTCGTCTTAATTCAGAGGCGAAACAGCTTTTTTAATTGCCACTATGGATGATCTTGGCCCACCTTGTCCCACACAGTGGTCACCGGATCCTATAGACATCAATCACGTAAAAGCCGCCATCCATCCTGAGACATGAGTTCTAAATCTCAGTTTTTACGGTACAACGGCCGTCTGACTCTTCAAACCGAAACGCATTACTGCTTCACGGCAGAAATAGGCAGGGTGGAGGTACTGACCCGTGAGGTTTCGTAAGACCCGTAAGAGTCATTAGTCATTATTCCGATGATATTGCGGTTTTATGTCTTAAGCTGAATGACATTTCAAATTCACTTTCATATTTTAAGCCAAGCGTATTTACTTTAAGTATTTACTTACGACATTCTTTCTCTGGTATGCAAGTACCATTCTTAGCTTTTACATAGCCGTCTTCACAGAGACAGCCTCCTTTACAGTATTTAGGATCAATTCTAGGACAAGACAGCGGCTTTCCAAGTTGAGAACAGCTCTTTGGTCGACATTGTCCTTGGACGCAACTATTGTATACCTCGTTTCTTCCGCATGATGGTGCTAAATAGTATAGAACAGATGGATAGATAGATAGATAGACAGTGTTGAAGTTTTATAACCCAGCAGTGCCTTAATATCCAGTGTCCTTAGTGCGAGTTTTTTAAGCTTCTCGATCGCGTAAAAGTTAACTCAAACTTGTATGAAGTTGGAACAGCGCCCCTACAGGTAAGCAAAGGGAAGCTGTTCCAACTACATACAGATTTAGAAAACTCGCACTAAGCACACAGGAGTATTAGTACATACTGTATCACCTTTACTATCGCTACGAATATTTTTTGCTATCATTAAATGTCACGACCTATATGCTGCTTATGTTACAGAAGCCTACAAATCTAATAAATACATAGCATTAATAGCTAAAAACATTTTGAAGTCTTTGAGGAGGTTTACTGGTGGTAGGACCTCTTGTGAGTCCGCGCGGATAGGTACCACCACCCTGCCTATTTCTGCCGTGAAGCAGTAATGCGTTTCGGTTTGAAGGGTGGGGCAGCCGTTGTAACTATACTGAGACCTTAGAACTTATATCTCAAGGTGGGTGGCGCATTTACATTGTAGATGTCTATGGACTCCATTAACCACTTAACATCAGGTGGGCTGTGAGCTCGTCCACCCATCTAAGCAATAAAAATCAAATAAAAAAAGAGGTCGAAGTTTTAATCCGCAATTTTTTTAATTGTGTCGCGCAGCAGTAAGCCTTTCCGGTTTGAAGGGGACCAGTTGCTCTACTACACTTTGAAACTTAGATCCCTTAGGTCTAGGTTGGCTCTAACTTAGGTCTAAGTTAGCTCAAGGTGGGAGTCGCATTAACGTAGGGAGAGGTATGTGTGTCCAAGGGTTTCGGTAATGACAGATGGGCCATGCGTTCGTTCAAGCATGTTAGCAAAAAAAATATGTTTTTCGAATTGCATGTCTATTCAGATTGTCCCATGGCAAAATACTGAGTTTATTTCTGGTTTCTCTAAAGGAAATCATCAGAGGAATTTGTGGACATGAACTACTAAGAAAAACAACGGCAAAAACGCACGGCATTTGTTAGGTGGAACGCATTTTCCTGTAATTTCATTTAAATAGAATCCTGGTTTGCAATCGCAGGCGTTGTCATAGCAAATCTCAGTGCACGCTTTAGGTTCTTGACCACGATCTGAACAACGTCTGTTGCAGTATACACCGCAACCCGCTCTGGCATTGCAGTCTCCACCGCACGATGCTGGAGAATTACAAAAAATTTAGATAAATCGACCCAATTTCTCCAAGTGATTCTGAAGCGGGCATACCGCTTGCTATATACGGTGGTAGGACGTATTGTGAGTCTGCACGGGTAGGTACTACCACTCCGCCTATTTGTGCCGTGAAGAAGGAATGTGTTCCGGTTTGAAGGGTGCGGCAGCCGCTGTAACTATACTGAGACCTTAAAACTTATATCTCAAGGTGGGTTGCGCATTTGTATTGTAGTTGTCTATGGGCTCCAGTAACCACTTAAAACCAGGTGGGCTGTGAGCTCGTCCACCCAACTAAGCATAAAAAAAACACCCTTTGGTCCAGAGTCCACACGTATTGGACGTATAGACTTCTGACCGCAAAGGGTTCAACAAAAATTACTTTGGTATGAATTGATATATCTGTGGATTATAAAAAAACAATAGAGTATTGTTTAAATAAATTGAAATAAAAAATATCTTAAACTAATGTGTTTTTTTCCTCCACTGCGTTCTCTTGCCAAACCTCGTTAAGAGAGACATAACATCGGAAATCCATGGTTTCAACGGCGAGTTACTGGATTTATTAATTATAATATTAATGTTTAGTTTATATTATACAGGGATTCATTGAAGCATTTACTTTACAAATAACACAGAAATGACCAGAATCCCAAACAGATAGTCTGAAATAAATTATGAGCGGTCTGTCTGTTTTCTCGAATTTATTTTCTTAATTTATATGGAACCCAATTAAAAAAATTAACTCACGGCACTCTGTCTTCGGGATACATGTGCCGTTGTTAACTCTAACATAGTCTTCTTTACATAAGCATCCTTTGGTGCATTTTTTTGGGTCTATTCTAGGACACGTTACGGGTTTTCCTACGTCAAAACATGTCTTAGGCTGGCATTGTCCTTCGATACACTCGCTGTAAACTTCATCTTTGCTGCACGTTCGCGCTAGAACCAAAACGATGATTTGAATTATCTTTTTCAAGGGGTGGATCCAACACCGATAATAGTCTGTCCACCCTACATCAGAACATATGTATCTGTGAACGTAAAAAGTATCCTTATCCGTGATTTATATTTTTACCTTTTGCAAATTCTGACCTTCTTCGCCACCGTCCTATAGCTGCGAAGCATTTAAGTTTGAAGGGTAGATAAAAAATTATCGGTGGCATAAGAGTAGCACATTAAAAGAATCAAAATAAATAAATCTCTACTTATAAAAAAGCGTCACGTTGTTGGTCCGCCATGAAATTCTGAACTAATGAACGAATTTCAATAAAACTTCGCACACTATGTATAATTTGGTCCAATTTACGAAATAGAATAGTTATCTCAATTATTAATCACTATTTTTTTATTTATTATATGCCTAATAAATGTCAGGCTGCTTATAATCTGTAAGCTTTGAAGTTTCGAAAACAATTACGAGGGCTGCACTAAAAGTATCGGGAATGGAATATTTCCACTGTTCCTGTCATATTAAAATCTTTTTAATTGAAAACTCCTTGGTTTTAAAAATCGAATACCATTAATTTATTTAAAAAAAGATTCTCGGTCTTGTCACGAGGTTTTGTCAAACTTGTTTAGTCGTTGAGAAAATGGAATTGACTCGAGAAAATTCAAGAGCGATGATTTATTATGACTTTCGAAGTGGTTTAACACAAAAACAGTGTGTTGACCGGATGATTTCTGCATTTGGTGATGAAGCCCCATCCAAAACCACAATTTATCGCTGGTTTGCTGAGTTTCAACGTGGACGTGTCAAGCTCAGTGATGATCCCCGTCAAGGTCGTCCAAAAACTGCAGTCACCCAAGAAAACGTTGATGCTGTGCGTAAGCTGATTGAGGAAGATCGACATGTGACATACCGCGAAATTCAGGCAACTTTAGACATTGGCATGAGTCAAATACAAATAATCTTGCATGAACAATTAGGTGTAAAAAAGTTGTTTTCCCGATGGATACCGCATTCGCTCTGTGAAGAGCAAAAAGCGGCTCGCGTTACTTGGTGCGTCAGAACTCTCGAAAGATTCCACGCAGGATCCTCAAATGCTGTATACAACATTGTATCAGGTGACGAATCCTGGATATACGCGTACGAACCCGAAACAAAAAACCAGTCACGAGTTTGGGTGTTCGAAAATGAGTTAAAGCCAACAAAAATTGTTCGTTCACGGAGTGTTGCAAAAAAAATGGTGGCCACGTTTGTCTCCAAAACCGGCCATGTTACGACTATTCCTCTTGAGGGACAAAGAACGGTTAATGCAGAATGGTATGCTAGCATTTGTTTGCCACAGGTCGTTTCTGAACTCCGTAAAGAGAACTGCAACCGCCGCATCATCCTCCATCACGACAATGCGAGTTCTCACACCGCGCACAGAACAAAAGAGTTTTTAGAGCAAGAAAACATAGAATTATTAGACCATCCGCCGTACAGCCCCGACCTAAGCCCTAATGATTTCTATACTTTCCCTAAAATAAAGAATAAATTGCGTGGACAGAGATTTTCATCACCTGAAGAAGCCGTGGACGCCTACAAAACGGCCATTTTGGAGACCCCAACTTCCGAATGGAATGGTTGCTTCAATGATTGGTTCCATCGTATGGAAAAATGTGTCAAATTTCGCGGAGAATACTTCGAAAAACTTATTGCTTGTGTCACTTCGTTAATTCCCGAAATTTTAAGTGCCGCCTAGGTATGCTACATATATTAAAATAGTTAAACATGAACGTTTGTCCCCTATGAGTTCCCGAACCGTTGGTCCAATTGTGATGAAACTTACGTACGTACGTAACGTATACTTGTGGTTGGGCCTCCATGGGATGTTTCTGTCATAGTACCATAAATGTAAGCGCGTGAATAGTTTCAAAGTTTTTTTTTCTAGTTTACTAGTGTTGTATATTTTCTAAACTACAATCTACGTCTGAAAATACTCACGGCACTGGTTTGGTTTTACGCATTTTCCTGTATTCTCGTTTAGGTAAAATCCATCTTTGCAATCGCAAGCATTGTCATAGCAAATTAAAATACATGCTCCTGGCTCTTTTCCGATATCGCTACACCGTTTGTTACAGTTCACGCCGCAGCCGGAACGAGCGTTGTTGTCTTCACCGCAGGATGCTTGATAATTCATAATAAGAGATTCAATAAGATAATTCGCGGTAAATTGGCCTTTATTTTACTAGTTGAGGTTTATAGACAAGTATATGCATCCACCCGATGTCCGCAGTTACAAAAATCCATACAAACCAAAAAATACCCACTTTGAGATATAAGATTGAATTTGGATTTTGGTATCCATGCGTGTCAGCTGTAATTGCTAAGCTATGAATTGACTCTTTAGTTTGAAAATATCATAATAATTAGACAGCTGAGTCATAAAGTCTTGACGTATTATTAAATCTACGTTACGACGTTGGCTAACTATGTCCGACAATAACATAGAAATTGGCTTCAAAAAAAAGTAAGACTGTACTATCCGAAGCCTGTCTAAATGGAGACCAGTCATACTAACATACATACAAGAGGAATAGAGAATAGAAAAACAATGAGGATGAACAGTTCTAACTAAATTATGAAATATTTACTAATAACTGTAAGTACTCACGACAATCGGTTTTTGGTATACACGTTCCATTATCAGCTCTGACGTAGTTTTCTTTACACAAGCACCCTTTGATGCACTTTTTGGGATCTATTCTTGGGCAAGCCACTGGTTTCCCTATTTCCGAACAATTCTTCGGTTGGCAGTACCCTTGTATACAATCATTGTAGACTTCATCTTTTCCACAAGTAGGAGCTAAGAAAAAAAAACATTATATCTTTAGTTTTGTTTCGTGCCATAAATTGTGAACGTGATTAGATTAATATTTTTTTTTTATTTCTAGTATTGCGTTGTTAGTATTTCTGGGTGTAGCGAGAAACAAGGTGTATAGAGAAAAATGAAGTAATATTTATCATGTTTCTACAATAAAAAATCGGTTACCAATAAATTTGTGAATTTGCGTTTTTTGTCTTTTACAGAAAATAAAACAGAAATAAATTTCCGACAAAAACAATACTGAAAATTTATAGTTATTTGTTTTAAAATTAGTCAGTCTAGTAACAGAATATGTAGAAAGAAGTATTAGAAGATGTAGAAGAAGGCCACGACGACTTCAAATTGTAAGAAACTTAAAACACGAGAGTACGCTGCCATATTTTATTAAAGACACAGACCACATTTATTAAGTAAATGTAATGAGTGTTAGCGATAAGAAAGGGCCGCGGAGCAGCAACCATGTGACTGCGAAAGGAAGGGATCTTTACTGTTCGGCAAAAACTCAACAAAAATGTCACACGGCGTAGGAATCTTGCTAAAAAAAAGGGTCATTGTAAGCAGTTACAGAGTTTACACTTGTTTCTAATACGAGAGTAACGATGATCAAATCTAAGGCCAAACTACGAATAAATATACAGGAATGTATAATGTTACGTTTCTTGATATATTCAATAATAATTATTGATGGCATGATACCTTTTCCCAGAATAAAAAAAAAATGCCATAGGGGTTAAATTATGAAATTGCCGTTCTATTGTAATAGGTACTTCGAATTGACATAGAACCTTCGTGACTTTAGATTTATGAGTGAAACTTTTTCAAATGGTTCGTTCTTCTTTTAAATGTGCAACATTAAATTTCAGTTGTTTTTTTATTCAGCTTAGGCAAGAAAGATGGATACTTCAAAAATTCGAGTGATTTTTGAATACGAGTTTCGACGCGGAACTAACGCTGCAGAAACAGCTCGCAATATCAGTGTTGCATTTGGACAGGGGGCTGCTAATGAACGCACCGGGTGATTTTGGTTTAAACGCTTTCGTGATGGAAATTTTGATTTGAAGAATGAACCACGTGGAAGACCGCTCACACATGTGAATAACAATGAATTTAAAGAGACGGTGGAAGCCGATCCGAGCCAAACTATCCGGAAATTAGCGGCATTGTTTAACGTTACCTTACCAACAATATTGACTCGTTTGCTTCAAATTAATAAAATAAAAAATATGAAAAATGGGTGCCTCATGATTTGACTGATCTGCAGAAAGACACACGTGTTGAAACTTGTGTTGCCTTGTTAAATCAATACAGAAATGAAGGAATGTTGGATCGAATTGTGACATGTGTTGAAAAGTGGATTCTTTACGATAACCGTAAGTTAAATATGCAAACTGCTGACCCCAGGTCAAACGCCGCAACAGTATCCTGAAGCAAAACTTACCAATAAAAAGGTAATGGTAACTGTTTGGTGGTCTCAGCATGGTGTTACTCACTATAGCTTTCTCCGATCTGGTCAAGCAATAACGGCATCTACTGTGCCTAACTCCGAACAATGATACCAAAACTTGCAGTGAAACAGCCCCGACTCATGAATCGATCTTCACCATTATTGCTCCATGATAACGCGAGACCTCATACAGAACGAGAAACAGTTTTGACTCTACAGGAATTACAATTAGAAACCATTCATAACCCTCCATATTCACCAGACCTTACTCTAACGGACTATCATTTTTTTCGTGATTTGGATAATTTTCTACCTGATAAAAAGTTTTCTTCCCAGGAGGCAGCACAAAATTCTTTCACACAGCTTGTAGAATCTAGATCACCAGAGTTCTATCGCAAAGGGATAAATGACCTTCCTATTAGATGGCAGCAACGTATAGATAATAATAATAAATATTTTGATTAAATAAATATGTTAAATAAAAATAAAAACGAATTTCAATTTTTCAGTACAAATGGGCAGTTTCATACTTTGACCCCTAATATATCTCTGCACAAAATCTGCTCTACCATGTATTTATTGCTCATGCTGTAGTATAACTGCATGTTGTAGTATAACTGTATCTTGGAAGACAAGTTCTTGGAAGACTTGGAAGACTCAAGACTTGGAAGACTCTGAAGTCGTCGTGGCCTAAGGGATAAGACGTCTGGTGCATTCGTGTTGAGCGATGCACCTGTGTTCGAATCCCGGGCGGGTATCAATTTTTCTAATGAATTACGTACTGTACAAATGTTCACGATTGTCTTCCACAGTGAAGGAATAACATCGTGTAATAAAAGTGAAACCCGCAAAATTATAATTTGCGTAATTACTGGTGGTAGGACCTCTTGTGAGTCCACGCGGGTAGGTACCACCGCCCTGCCTATTTCTGCCGTGAAGCAGTAATGCGTTTCAGTTTGAAGGGTGGGGCAGCCGTTGTAACTATACTGAGATCTTAGAACTTATATCTCAAGGTGGGTGGCGCATTTACGTTGTAGATGTCTATGGGCTCCAGTAACC